TCTCTCAGATTTGCCGGCCTGGGCTGGCTATGAACCTGAGTAACTAGGTTTACAGGAGTGAGCCACCAGGACTCAGCAGGTTCTGTACTCAAGATCATTAGGCCAGGAGAAAAATGACACACTGTGCTTTAGATACTACATCTGAAAAGAACATGGTGGAATGTCAGGCTACGTACCTGTAGCAGCGGGTGAGCAGAGTCTCCTGCCCTCCAAGGGTTCACAGTCCAGACCGGAAGGCAGAAGATAGGGAGGGATACGAGGGGATGCTGCAGGATTGCAGCTGAGAGAGCAGAGGGAGAAATGAGAACCTTGACAAGAGGCTCCTCACCTGGCCTTGTAGACCAAGAGAGCTTCCTCCGAGCTGAGTCAACAATGAGAGGCAGTTTGTCAGTGGGAAGGAGGCCAGAGGCCAGAGGCCAGGCCAAGGAAACAGCATGATGGGGAACACTGCAGGTGTAGCATATTCCAAGAATTGTTATATGTTGCATGGACCTGGGCTGTACAATTCCGAAGGACAGGGAGAAAGGAAGAGGGAGCAAGGTAGAGGCAATGTGTAGTAGCTCACACCTGTAATGCCAGCTACTTGGTAGACAGAGATTGATTGGGAGGATTATGGTTTGAGAATAGCCTGGGCAAAAGGCTAGAGAGACCACATCTTAACTTATAAGCTGAGAGTGGTGGTTTACAACTATAATTCCAGCTACTTGGGAAGTCATAGGTAAAATAATCTTAGTCCTAGGCCAGCCTTAGAAGAAAGGAAGGAAGGAATGTAGGAAGGAAGGAAAGAAGGAAGGGGGAGGGAGGGAGGGAGGGAGGGAGGGAAAAAGGGAGGAAGGAAGGAAGGAATGAAGGAAGTAAAGGAGGGAGGAGGGAGGGAGGGAGAAAAGGAAGGGAGGGAGGGAAAGGAAAGGAAGGAAAAGAAAGAAAGAAAGGAAGGAAGGAAGGAAGAAAGAAAGAAAGAAAAGAGAAACTCAAGACTGTAGAAAAATAAAACAAAAAGAACTGGGAGTATGGCTCAAGTGGTAGAACACCTGCCAAGCAAACTTAAGTCCTGAGTTCAAATCCCATACTGCCAAGAGGGCAGGGGTGGGGAGAATGAGGTAAGCAGAAGCCAGATCCTGAAAGTAGAAAACAAAAATGGAGAAGAAGTTAGGAACAGATATGAATTTTATAATTATTCCAGCCAGGCGCCAGTAGCACTTGTAATCCTAGCTACTCAGGAGGCTAAGATCTGAGGATCGTGGTGCAAAGCCAGCCCAGGCAGAAAAGACCCTCATCTCCAATTAACTATCAAAAAGCCAGAAGTGGAGCTGTAGCTCAAGTGGTAGAACACTAGCCTTGGCAGAAAAGTTCAGGGCCAGCACCCAGGTCCTGAGTTCAAGCCCCAGGATTAGCATACACACACACACACACACACACACACACACACACACACACCACGATTATTCCAGTTGTACCTTGATCAAAGTGACAAAAGAAACCAGTTTGGTCTCTGCAGAGACCTAGGACAGTGAAGGGGCTGAGCTTTGGCCTTGGCCTTGGCGGTGGAGGTGGGGAGAGGACAGCCATGGAGGAAGTAACTTCCTGAGAACATGGTGACTAAGATGGGGAAAGACGTCTTATCTTGCCTGGTCTTGTGGTTACCTCACCCAGGTGGCTCCTTTTTGTCCAAAGTCCTCTAGTGTTAGCATTCTTTGTCATTTGCATTCCAGAATTTCAACTCTCCGAGGCCAGCACTGAGGTGCATGCCTATAGTCCTGGTCCCAGAAGGGACTGGGGCAGTAGGATCCTGAGATCAAGCTAGCCTGGCTTAATTAGTGATTCTGTCTCTCTCAGTAAACAAAAAAGGTTTTAACTCTTACATACGCCTGTTTGTCCAGAGAAACAATTCTCATGTATTTTCCTCTCTCTCTCCTTCAGTAAAACTCCATATACTGGGCTGGGAAGGTGGCTCAGTGGTAGAGCGCT